TGGCCCCTGCGCAAGGATGACACGCAAATTCGTGAAGCGTTCCAAATTTTTTTGTGTGATATGAAACAAAAAACAGTTCATTAACAACAAAACCACTTATCATGCAATGTCTACACATCAGCTTGTTTGAATTTATCAAAGATACTCTGCCTGTTCTGTGCAATTGTTTCTATTCTATCATTCGGAAATTCTTGATCGGAGCAAACAATAATCTGTAATTACTATTTGTATAAAAACGTTCAGTAGTACAACTTCGTTTTCCGGGAGCAACAATGAAACTCATAAGGTCTATATGTATTTCAAGACTCGCTTTCAATTTTAAAAGGAGGAAGACGCTCACCAACTCAAGGTCTCCAAGTCGGTCTTCCAGGGAACAGTTTTCAAAAATTGTCTCAAGTTCCGTGATTGTTCGAGTTATAATAGATGGACTGAAGTCATCCTCGTCTGGTTCATGCTTTTTGCGCATCTTCAAGACGGATTGGTAACGGAACATAACAACTCCTGGAAAGATGATACTCAGCACTACGATAATCGTTCACAATCTCTTCTAACAACTATCACATGTCCTTTCGTATTTTTCGAATGAAGATTAATTTCGTACCATTTTCATTGAGAACACTCTTGATCTTTCGAAGATTCGATGCTTGTAAATATTTCTTGGAAGGACATTCGTAAACGTTCTCGTCGTTCATAGAACATCCGTGAACCCACACCGAATCATACTGATTATCTAAAAAGAATATGGAAACTTAGAAAACATGGAATATGAACCTTCTGAATCCTGAAGAAAATTATTATTCTCGTCGCTAATAACGTCTTCATTGAGTTCAACAGTTTTCATCCATTTTTTGGCCAGTTTCAATAGGGTTCCATCAGATTCTACTATTGTTTGGCGAATCTGATTATACAAAAATCAACGAAGCTTCTATTTACTAATTCTGCTCTCAATAAGAAAACACTAGGAAAAAAAGATTTTAAAAATCTGTTTCTCCTTATCATCTCTATCACTGTACTCCTTTTTTCTGTCTATTATCACAGCTTCCTTTCAGAGACCATTTTCATTATCGTCTTCACCAAGGCGTGACCATCTTCTCTTCTTAGAAGTTCATTTACTTCGTTCTTTCATAGCTTTTTCATTGGCTTTACCTTTTATTTCTTAGATTTTTATACTGACTGATAATTCTTTCTTTTGATAAATAAGAAAACGACAAACGTTTGGATATACGGCTCTGATGAACATATGACTCTGACCACCATTTATTCCCAAATGCAAAATTTTATAATGATGGCTCCCTTTTCTAGCTAATGGGCGCCAAACGAACAGATTTTCTGAAATTTATCTATTAAGCTCAGACAGATTTTTATTATCCTAACGAAACGCGTTTGACACACAAATCCAGCTTCACTCCCTCTCTCAAATGATATGAAGCAATTCATTTATACTTCCACATTCGACCAGTAAATCGGATATGCCCTCTGGTTAATCGATTTGGGAGCTTTTTATTTATTCAAACATACACTTACACACACACACACACACACACACACACATGCTCAGATCATTGAAAAGAGATTGGTTTATATGAGACTACTGTTTCTGTAAGATTGTCATTGGTGGAAGACTGCTTTGAGGATATAAAATGTTGGAAAACAGAGTTTGGTCCCTTTTTGAAGTTTTGTAATCAAGAGTATGAAGGCTTGTATGAATTGCCGTCTATAGCAATTCATTTGTGCCCTTTGATCTGATTGTCCTTTGCTTATCTCTCCCTTCCTTTCTATCTCTCTCGTTCTGTTTGCTCTTTTGAATTTTATCTCTCTCTTTCTTGCCCTTTACATATAACTGTGAGCTCTTGAAATTCTCTTATAAATAAGACAATCGGCATATCATTTAAGGCTTAGTAATAAGCTGATATTGACCCCCTTACAAGGTCAAAAGGGGCTTAGGAGCACGACGAATTTCCATCTGTTCAGCAGATACAAATAGTTATAATTAGTTATATACCAGTCTGTAAATAAATCTTGAGCATATAATCTGCAGTTCCAAATATGACCAGATGCCGAAATATTTTCTTATTTGGGCTTCTCTCTCTAATACGAACAAATTAGCCAAAGACAATTCTATTCTATGGCTTCAGCTTGTTGTTCTCAATAGGATAGAAGGAGGAAGGTAGAGCTGCTGAGGTCAGGTGCTTTCATCTTCCGATTTTCGGCTTTCCCAATCAAAATAAAATTGTTTAAAGACGTCAAAGCACTCTCACATAGTTGTTTCCGGTCAAAAGAGGCCATTTAAACGGTTTGGTTGGGAAATAATTGTTGCTTACATTAACGTTCATCTGACAACATATGACCATCGAAAGATCAAGAAAGAAGGCTATTCCATACAATTTTCGTGTCGAATTTGCATAAAATTGAATAGTTTCTATCATACTTGGCAATAACTTAATGGATGACCCAGACAATACGAAAAGAGGACAGGTGGATTAGCTGGATTTAAACGATTACTTTCATCCCCCCCCCTACCCGTATCATTTTCTATACACTTTGCCCTTTGTTTCCTTGTTTCTCCCACTCTCTGAATCTCGTCTCTCTCCCTATCTATCTCTCTCTTTTTCTTTTTCTTTCTGAACATTTTTTATCGAATGACTTACAAGAAAATTGTACAAATGACCAGTAATTTCTCTCCTTCCGAACAATTTATCACATTCAAAGATAATTGAAAAGGACGAACAAATGGCCTCTGTTCTCTTCTGCCATTCTCGTTTACTCTGACTCTATAAACCTTCTTTAAAAATTTCTGTGAAAAAAAACTCCAAGAAGGAATCCAAGGAATTTGGAATCTCTCTCCAACACATTCAACAAATGAGAGCTGTTTCAAAGATATATTTTTTTTCTTTCACAATAAATCTTTCAGTTGTCTGTCCTTTCTCTTTCTTTTCGTTATTTCTCTCTTTTTCCTTTTTTTAATTTTCAGTCAACTATAGGAATGCTTGGAAAACCAATAGCTATTCTCTCCTCCCTCCGTCCCGTTTCGCCTCTTTTTCATAAACAGTTTGGCAGGCATTCCTTATTAGAGGAAGCTTCAACAAACTTGCCCATCTTCCACCCCTCTGCTCTTCACCTCAGCAGATTTTATATGCATTCCTGTCTCGTTTTAGTGAGCTTATATGGCTTTTTTCACACTATGAAATAATGAAAAAAGTCTCCTTCCAATTCAGTCACTTTTCTTCGTTTTTGTTGATCAAATGAGTATTTTGATCGTTTTCTGCCCCGTCTCAGCCTGTCGCAGATTTTTATTGAAGAAAAAAAACAATACTTTGTCAACAAGTATGATTTTCCTTTTCGTTCTCTCATTCTCCCTCACACAAGAATTTCGATCTCTTTCTTGAAATTCAAAAAAATATGAAGATAAACAGGTAATAGTAACTGAATGTCAAATGAGTTCTAAGCCATATCCATGAATGAGACAATCTATCAACAACAAAATTGCGCCGAACATGGGCTACGGTCAAAAGACGAAAAACGATTCGATTGAGTCTTGGAAAAAAGTTTTCTGCAAAGCAAAACCAGTTAATTTTACGAGAGAAACGTGTTCTGGTTATCGAACGATGGTCAGCGATGTTGTAGATTGTCGCATCGACAATTTCGTCAAACTGACGATCTAACCATATTCTGAATTCCAAAAATTTCCTCGATTCTGTTTTCTTCTCAAACTAGCTGATTGTAACAGAAATCGTACAAGATGTGAGATGTCAATGATTGAGAGCATTGAAAGCGCTTCAAGCTCAACTTTCTCCGTATTTGATTATTCCCTCAATAATTTTCTTGTGCAAATGCAGAAACTGTCAAAATTATTATCGTCTGCTGTTCGTGTGTTCGCCATTTGTCAATCGTTCTCTTCACCTTCTTCTTCCTCTTAAACGGAAATATCAAAGAGTTTTTTCTCTGTCCGTTTCTGTAACTCTCTCGCACTTTCCCCCTCTCTCTCTCTCTCTTATTCTCTCTCACCTTATCACCAAATATCATTATATATTCCAATGAATATTACGATTTATGAGAACTAAAACGTTTTCAATATTCATCTCCAACTTTCTAGCAGTCACCATCTTTCTCTTTCCCATCTCACCATTAGCTTCTTTTTATCTGACTCATAGAACTCCCCTTTAGAAGCCTTATTTTCTCTTCTTTTCAACACTCGCTGTCGTTTGTATTTTCCTCGGTCCCCTTCTCGTCCTCGTCTCCCCTTATTTGGCATAATCTTATGCGTGCCGCATAGGACGCCTTGTGTGCTTTCTTTCCCATCTCCTCTCTCTCTTTCTGTTTCTCTTCGTCTTCCTCTCTCTTCACCCTTCCTATACCCTCAGCAATCTCTCCTATCCGCATAATCTCTTATTTCTCTTGCTGCGCTCCGTTAGACACACAGTGGGTCATCCATATCGATCTGTGTTCCATGTAGCCTTCGTACGACCCTTTCCCAACTAAGTGTAAGCCATTTATGGAGAGAGTAAACTATTTGTAGAGACGGAAGAGACAAACAGAGCAATTTCAGTGAGTTGGTGGATACTAAAATTCTTTTTCCGCCTAGTTATTCCATCCATTGAGGAAAAAAGATGAAGACGAAAGACAAGCATGAACTTGAGCTATTTGTTCCAAACCCTTGTTTACTGAATGGTTTTTGAGTTTCCTCTTTCTCTCTCTCTCTTAATATCACTTCTTCCTCCTATTGTAATGTTGGAGTAGAAAGAGATGACACACAAAAAAAAATATTTTTTAGTCTTCCAATGGTATGTAAAAGACCACAAAAGTTGAAGATAATCGAAAAGATACTTTGAAAATATTATGAACCATCGAGAGGGTCAAAAGAAAAGCAGAGCATCTCTAGATCCCCCAAATGTCGAACAGACGGCCAACAATGTCGATCGTCATCTCCTAACCCCCAACCCCCTCCCTTTTTCTCCCATCCCCTTTCTCTCTATCTTTCTCTTCTAACTCACCCCTCCATTTTCCTACTCTACTGACCGGGGCCACATGTCACGTGATGGACACAACCTTATAAATAGCATAGATAATTTGGAGAATGCTGGACAACGAGAGAGAACGACAGATGTGCGACTGCTGGTCCTTCGTCCATCTAATGTCCCTTGTGTCCCTCCGATCTCTCTATCTATTTTCTTGTATATATTCCCTTCCTAGTTATGTCCCTCTTCTCTACGACCCCGTGACGATGTTCGGGTCAACTGCTCACTATCTTCGATGGCTCAGAAGAATTAGAGAGAGAAAAGAAAAACAAAGAGAAAATGGAGGAAAAAAGAAAAAGGGGCAAGAGAGGATAGTAGAAAACACTTCTTCCAAAGAGAGAGTGAAAAGAGAGAGAAAAGGGCAGATGACGAAAACAACGGCATAATCTGACGCTCAACTCAGCATAGCCGCCAGCTGGAGCATTGCCAGAACGGCATTCAAATATATATTTATATATATATATAGAAAGAAAGAGAGGAAGAGAAAGAGCGAGAGATAGTGGCATTAGAGTGGAAAGCCTGTAGAATCAGAGACTTCTTACGATTTCGTAGAGAATTGGAGAGGCAGGAAATTGACTGACCAAATACAAGAACGTCAACTGTGAGAGCCTTAAATGGAACAGCAATTTGCTCTCACGCACAATAGAGCTTATTAAGGAATTAATATGACAAGTCCGGTAAACAGAACGCATCTTACTCCCCAAACTACTCAAGTATTTTAGTAAATAAACAAAAACAACGCCTCAGAACTGCGCAATTTTTTTTAAATAAATGGTTGTTGAAGAATATGTAAAAGTGGGTACGAAAGTAGTGTGAAGGCAATTCGTTTCGTGAACGCACCTATCATCAGAAACTCATAAGTTCCGTGAGAGAACAGTGTAGGACACAATCGCCATTTCTCAGTTTTGAAATATTTGGTCGCTCCTGCAAATGATAGTCTTTGTTACATTTTCCATCTGACTCACCTATGGGATGAGACAAGACTGCTGACATAACCGGTGGCCCTGGACCAAACATTGAGTTAGCTTCGAAATTATTGTCGTCAACATGACCGTCCTCAGAAACGAGTACAATTTCTCGACGTACGAAATCCCTAAGAGAAAACAATTTTTTTCGTTCGTTCAATTTGTCCTCTTGATCGGCTGATCTACGTCTTTTTCTGTAAGCGTCAGTTTCCTTCTTTGGTCAACGCGACGGTCCCACCACGTACGATGTCGTCACGTTGTACATACAGGCACAGACACGAACGGATACACACGGGGAAAAGAGCGAACGCCATGGAGCCAAAGAGATGCGAGAAATTTCGGAAGACTTTCAGAAGAAATAAATCTCACTTGGAATAATTGTTATAATCGAGGCTGTCTAGAACTTCATAACAAACTCCTTCAGCTAGATCTTCGGTGAATGTCGTGGTTTTCCCTTCTTCTTCCTCATATGCGTGCTCGTGGTTGTTCCCTTTGTGCTGTCCACAGATTCTCTCTCTATAGATCAAATTTTTGTAAACCGTTTTCAAGTTGTTCGCTTGCAAAACCACTTCCTCCAGCATTTCTCTTTGTAGATTGGAAAGTTGTCTGCTCTTTCGGCGGCAATTTACAATCAAAATTGTGAGTTCTTATCGCTAAAACTTCATTGATAACGGCCGTAAAGCGTAATGTTAATTGGAGCCCACAAACCTTTCCGTTCTTTCTCCTTCTCTCTCCATCTCTCTCACTTTTCTAAATAAGGTCAAAATTCGATGACTACAAGGGCGGAATTGCTTTGCGAACTTTCAGTCTCACTCACTGTACAGCTGTCTTTCCCTGTTCCTCAGCGATTTGACGGAAAATTTCTTCCATTTCATGGCCACTTGTGTCGGATGTCTCAAAACCTAGAAAGGTGTTCCGCACAAACCAAGCCAAGCCGACAATCTGAACATTCTAACAGTTACTCCTTTTAAGTCTTCGGAACTTACGGAAACACAAGCGATTAGCCGATTATCCATAAAGTACTGTATATCTTTCGAATTTGAAGGAAAATTTAACAGTGTATACTCCGAATGAAGAGGAAGAGTTTGTTGAAGATTGAGCCCAATACGGTTACATTCGAGTTCAACTGTAATCCCCTTCCAAAATTAAAACCTCCCGCTGGTATGGTTACCAATAGCTCTTTTTCATATAGTTTCGATTGGTACTTTATTACGTTCTAACATGATAGCTTCATTGTTACTTTGTACGAACTCTAATTCTGAGTTTTACCAAATCCGTATGAGGAAACCAGATACCTCTGCCATCGATCTTAAGAAGCAAGTGTGAAGAGAAAGTTCTGAAAAACAGTCTAACTAGTTCCCAGAAATTCTTTCATGGCGTCATATCACATTCTATCTCTAACTTGTTTCTGCTTCCCTGTTCAACACAAAATTGACTCCGCTATATAGCGCGTTGTTTAACAGTAAAGGTCTCACACTCCAATATTGATTTATTGGTCTGACAACGAAATTTCGCAATGCGTCGTCCTCGTTTCGAAAATCATTTGCACCTCTTTTCGCAGCACGAGCAGGCGTGTCTCTTATATTCTCTGGCTTTTTGTTTTCTACTGCTACTGTCCCTCCTAATATGTTCTATTCAAACATTATATGATCGTTATTTAATTAATGTCTTTCTCTATGTTATAATTTGACATATAGTTAGTGCAGGTGACGTATTTATCTCTATGTCCTATGACTATTATTGCACCATCATTTCTGTCATTTTGTTTCATTTTTGACACTAACATTCTTGCTTTTGTTTCTGTAAATTTTCGAAGTTTTGGAACATTGTGCTTGAGATAAAATCTAGTCCATCTCTCAATTTATACTTGCATTAATCTGAAATATAATCCTCAATCTGTTCGATATCAATTTTTTTTAATTCGTCTCATAGTTATCATTTTATATTTTTCTCTATTGTTAAAGATCATTGAGTACAGGAGTTAGTGTTCCAATAGTGCCATGTGTGTTCAACTTGAATGTTTCCTGACGTTTGGAAATTTGCCAAGTCTCGCTTGCACTACATAGCGCGGCAGACGCGAACCCTGGCCCTCAAAACATACTTTCTGCTCCCTCCCACATTTTGCCTTATATGGTTCTCCAGTGTAGACTAGTATCTAATGGATTGTTTTGGCGAGTCGCGCGTCCGGTCGGCCGCGTCGCTTTCCCATAGCGGCAGGTGCTAGTGGGCGTGGCTTGGCAGTGGACACTGGTCATTACTCGACTCACCATTGGTCAGCTGCAGCCGCGTCCATTGCCGCTCGCCTCGTCAGTTGCCCTTTCAGCGTCCCTCGTGGCTCCCGTCCTAGCCATTCCTCTCTCCTACACCCCCAGATATACTACTTGGTGCGGTGCTGCAGCTCAGCGGAGCTACCTCGTCTCGGTAGATTCTCTCTAGTCCCCTTCACTAGCCCTGATTTATTTTTCATTGCTTTCCAAAAGAATTACTATTTTGGTGGTTCAGTTGTTGAGAGCAAATGAAAAATATTAGGACGTCCGCTACCATTCTAGTTCTCTTTTTATTTTGACTAGTCCTCACAGTCACGGGTCATATGGCTCGAGCTATGCATTCCGAGTACACTCATATTGTTGTACCCGTAATGTACATAGCTTGGGTCATGTGACTCGTTCAGTAAATCCCTCCAAACATTTGATATTAGATGAAATGACTTGAGAAGTCTCCGCACGGGATCGCGTGGTCGTTTGTAGGCCGCTCCGCGTGACCGGTGACTATGTCTTGTTTACGCGACATGTCTTATCGACCGACCTCACCATTGTACTACACCATAACTACTACTAGTACGCCAGAGCATAGGATGATAGTAGTACTATTCTGTCGTATTTCATTCATATTCTAGTAGAATTAGGATCATTACGTTAGGGCATACACGTAATTGAGTGTACCCGTAATGATAATGATTCCGACTTTGCTGGAATACTTGTTTCTTTTTTGTTCGATTGTATTGTATTTCCAATAAAGCATTGCTGTGAGCCTATGTTAGTCTAAATAAAACATGACGAAATCAAATATGAGATTCGAAACATGGAGGCCATCAAACCAAACTTGCACAGTCAACTACCATAGGGAGAGAGCCCTAGCCAATTGTCAGCGATCTAGCGGGGGGCGGTTAACGAGAGAAAGAGAAGGAAAGAGGAGAGCAATGAACAATTGCAGGGGCAAATACGTAGTGCAGCTAGAGGGGTCTTTGCAAAATCGATAGGAACGACGGACACACATCGGTGTTACAATCAGTCCTGATGAGCCAGGGACTTTCGATAACTCAATCTGTTTGAGACCAAAATTTCAGTAATTTCTTAGTGTAATAAGGGCTAATAGAAATATTCTGAATATGACCTCATCATCTGTTTCTTCTTCTCATAAGAGCCAATATGAATATGACCTGACCCTGCCAACCAGCGAGTCATAAAGATAAACAACGTTGAAAGATTCTAGAGGCGATGATGAGAATACTAAATGATGGCTATCTATCTACTTCTAGGCCAAAACGAGGTCGATTGAGGACTCATAAAGCCTGCTTTTCATAATACGAATAACACGTGATATGTCCTAAGCATGAATCGATTGTTTTTCTCTCTCAGCACAAATGACTTAAAGCTTCTCTCTGAGTTATAACAGTAAGTTGAGATGAAGGTTCTTGTTGAGGACAGAAAAACTGTACAAAAATGGGAAAAGGACTAAAAGTGAACTATGACACAACAGAGAGGCATTCACACGACAAAAAAAAGGGAACTTTATCTTCTGGCAAACGTTTTGTGACTGAACACAAGCTTTATAAAGATGAACGTTCTACTATATCAGAACGCACGTTAAAGGTCGGAAGAAGTTTCGAAATATTTTTGGCAACTGTGCAGGTTTCAAATATTTGAAAATCTTCTCAATACAGTTGGATTTGCAATTCTGAATTGATTTGTTGTTGGAAGAGAATAGTATATCTAACGTTTTTTCTGTTGAGTGTTTCGAAGGGAAATACGAAATTGTGAATGTTTTTGCTGAAGAATTACATTTAACCTTCATTTTTTGCAACGGACAACGTCAATAAAAAGCCATATGAGTCATATTGTATTGTTTTTTTTTGTGTAATCCTTTAGAAAAGTTCGTAAGGAAGAATGAATTTGATTGATTTTCGGAAATCTCTTTTATAAGCTCATATTTCCTTCATAACAACTGTTTCTTATTTCCAGGAACGAATGCATTCTAGAAATACAGAAAGGCATCGAAATTCTGGGGTTGAAAGGTCAGGAAAACAAAAATTTATAATTTCACCTTATCTTTAGGAAATGGTTAGCAGTTAAATATGGATTAGAAGTTCTTAAGATAGTGGATGATAGAAATATCGAAGATTTGTTTTTTCACTTTCGGGATATTCTCAACGAGTTAATAGTGTTAGAAGAACGACCGGTTCACATTTTATTTTCCGAAAGCATTTCTGAGGTGAACGGTTTTCATACTTATGCTTTATGCTCTAATAATCTTTTCCCATTCTAACTGTAGTTTTTCATAGGTTCTCAATTTTCTACACAAAGTTTTGCCTGGAGTTCACGGTCCCATTCCTCTACTTCTCCTGATTGATGATGGTTTTTGTCTTCACTGAATTCTTCATAACGAAAGCTTCATTTCAGCTGAAAGAAGTAATGTTTCTGTTCACACGGAATTAGCAAACATTTTCCAAGATTACTCTTATATTTTCAAAATAACGGGTACAGAAACACGTCAAATGCTAGTCACCAAGAATTTTCTTGAGTTCCGGTCAGTCACTTGGAAAATCTGTTGAAATATTTTGAGAAAATGGGATATGTAGAACTTCGGGTTCAAAGCTTTTTTGTAGGAATTGGTCTAAGGAATTCGTAGAAAATATAATGATTGATAACATAAGCAGCCCCGATTCGGAATTGAATACTGGAATAGAAAAGCTGGTTGACAGGTAAACCATGGGAAGCTCAAAAAACTAGAAAAGTACATACGTTTTGTTGTAGAGAAACTTTATACGTAAATTATCAAGAAGACGATGAACCACATGAGAGTCCGAAACAGGCGGAAGTGGTGAATACCGAAAATATTATCAATGCTCTTAAAGCATACCGTCATGATGATCACGAACGTTTTGTAAGTATATCTGTCATCTCATAGCTTCTTACTTGGGATTGAAGGTTAGGCACATAGCGGTTGATAAGTTCTTTCGCCGGATGCGTTTAATGTTTGATAATATCGATGACAACTCTCATCTTCTTCAATTGATTCGAGTGTCATTGACTCCATCAAGGGAGATAGGTCCGAGGATTGCGGCTATTCTAGAAGAAATTATATTACAAGCATTGGATCTGCAGTAGGGTTACTGAAAAAAACGAAAAAGTATACAAAGTTCATCCTAGATTAATCCCTCGAATATGCGATCAGATTTACGAAGAATTCGATAAAGCTAGCAAGGAATTGTTATGGTCAGTTATAGAAGATCTTATGGAAATTTTCATGGCCACCAAGAAATTTGCTCCTTTCAATTGGGAAAAGAAAATTGTCAGGTCGAATCAATGGCTTCGGCTGTAATTTGATGACGATTTCAGCAATCTCAATGGGACATCTTCTTCAACTTCATCAATCATATCCCTAAATGGTTTTGGAATGAAATTCCTGAGAACCTTGTGAATTGGCTAAGAAATAAGGTCGATGAGTTTACGGTAAATATCTGATCAGATGAAACATAAGAATATGCGCGTGTATAATCGTATAGGTAGATGAAACGAAACAAAGAGAACCTGAGCCACAGAATGTTCCGAAAATAGAAAAAATATCTCCGTCAATCACACAGACTGCGTTTCCACGTCCTGATTTTTCGGGAACCTCTAAACAGTACTCCGCAGTATATAGTTTCAACTTGACAGAATATCTTTAGATTTGATAATTACTGGGAATATTGTGAGCAAGAGGAACCACCATGCGATTTCCGACAAATCAGCGAAGTTCCTCAAAAAGAAGATATTCTTGCAGAAGGTACAAGCTAGTTTCTATTTTGCTCAGCAATTCGGTTTCTAGATCCTCCATATGTAAGGAGAGCAGTTGTTGATAAGAAATATGAAAATTCTCAACATTATCTCGATGTGATGTTTAGGCTTTTACGAGAAGATTTAATTTCTCCATTACGTGATGGAATTTATCTTTGTAAAACAACTGCTTCTACCGAAAGTAGTATCAAAATTTATGACGTTCTGGAAATACGGGGCGTTCAGGTTAAATTCAATGATGGTGTCGAGTTCCGATATCTTGTTGTGACAGTGAGTTGGTCTATTAATTCACATAAGGAACTGTAACTCAGAACAACACTGATGATCAGAAAACGTTGCTATATGGCCAGATAGTTTGTCTATCTTGCGATAATTTCAAGAGTGATTTTCACATAGGATGTGTAGTTGAACGAAAGGAAAATGTAAATCTTCATTACAAATCATATTATCCAGTTATTCTATGTAGATGTGTATGACTTACACTGTTGGCGTGCAATTTTATGAACCTTTCGAGAAAGATGAGTACAAATCTTATCGGTTGGCTGAGCCTTCAAGTTATTTCGAGGCTTACCAACACGTATTGAAAGCAATTAAGGTGAGCTGAGCAGTTCTGTATTTTTTGATGGTGAGATTCGTAGAAAATTAACCGGCTAACAAGTTTCCCAATGGAAAGATATTTGGTATATTGTAAAAAGAATGTTCTAAAACCTCTGTATATGCGTTTGGATGTGGATCCTGGTAATGATTTGGATGTTGATATTCTAGTTAGTTTAATTCTGAACTGTGCGTTGGCTAACTCATAATTTGAGGAGCATTACGAAGAGCTACGAAAGCAAGAAAAAGATAAAGTTTTCAATGGTGAAAATGCAAAAAAAGAAGACAGAGTGTAAGTTCTTCTCCCTTTTCTCTCCTTTCTCAATCATTCGTATCCAGAAAGTTTCTGCTGGACAGTGTTCATCCTATTTTCCCAAAAAGGACAAAAACTGCTAACGAAGATTGTGAGCTCATGATTTTCTTCTTGGAATTTCAAAGTTTTCAGCGAGGGATAAGATAACAATTTACGGCGCAACTTACTCCATAGATACTTTGAGGCAGGACTTTGTTACAACTCTTCTGAATCCTCATCAAAGAGAAGCTCTAATTGAATCTTTGACAAACGAGCTTTGTTTGATACAGGGTCCACCGGGTACAGGTACGGCTTCAACTGGAATCACCTTCTGATTCAATATCTCTCTAGGAAAAACTTTTATCGGCGTAGAAATCGTGAGAGTTTTAGTGGCTAATAGAATTAGGTTTGGTATTTTGAAACCTGTGCTTCTTGTATGCTACACAAATGCCGCGCTTGATCAGTTTCTTGAGAAAGTTTATAAGATGGTTGAATATTATTCATGATTCTGTCCAAATGTATCACTTTTAAGCTCTCTCATGATAAAGAAAACGGGTTACTTCAACATAATGGGCCGTTAGTGGCTCGTCTTGGTAGTAAGAGCGAGAGTGACTTAGTTGATAAGTGAGTCTTAAATGATATATGTGCCAAGATAATCCATTTCCAGAATGAGATTATCTCGCTCTGCAGTTGTCAATGATTACAAGAACATTTACGCGGAAAATGAAAATGTGTGATTTCTTACCTCTAAATTCGTTAAGTTTCTCTTCTATTAGGTTAAGCTGGGAAAAACAATGAGAGACAAAAGAAATCAAGCAAAAGAACTCTCCATGATTTCCTCGATCCTACGTCTTCATAACACGTAAAGATAAAATAAGTTTCTATAAGACCTCTTATTCCAGAAAAATTTTACGATTTGAAGTTATTCGCCCTGCTATGAGCTCTTCGCACAGTGCTGAGTTTATCAAATTTCATTCTGAAAGCTGTCCTAAACTTCAGGTATGTTTGTAGAGGCTTTGTTGGAAACTATCTTTTTGTAAATTAGGTTGATGAAGCTTTCGGTCATTGGCTCTTAGACAAACCAATAGTAGATTTTCGAAATTTCGGAGTTTCTAAAGAAACAGACGGAGAAGATTTTGAGAAAGCAAAACCTTTCGAGAAAGAATCAGAGTTGGAAGAAGCGGATATTACTCTTGCTGAGCTTTTCCGTCGTATGAATGTTACAAAATCTCTTTGAACTACGTTTAACTTTCCCCATTCAGTTCGATTCACATATCAGAGAAGGCGTTGAAGAAGGAATCTCAGAGGCATCTCAGCTTGAGGTTCTAATAGTTTTGAGCGGTTGTTCCAGTATCGTTTTAGACAAGTGTGGTTTGGGACTTAACTTCGCAGGTTAAATTATGTGACAATGATGTGATTTTGTTCGGAAAAGTTAGCACAAATGGCTATAATACAATCGTAGTAAGTTTCTGATATGGGCATATAATCTTTTGTGCCACTATTTTCAGTATGATTCACAAATTGAAACGGCTGTGTTTGACAATGAACCTCAGATTTTAAAAGTAATTTTAATGGCTAATTTTTCTTAAATTTCGCCGTTTTTCTCAGACTTCGGCGTTATCTGAAAGTGATGCTTTCAATATTAATTCCATTTTGACAATCACAAGAGCTCGTAGATGGGAACTGTACAATTATTGGATCAAGACTTTGGTATAGAGTATGGTTTTCTGAATTCTAAGTAATTTTTTCAAGGTATCGAAAGTACTCTCGAACATATCTCAGGAGATTCAGAAATATCAAGTTTTATGCAAAGATGTTCAACTACATCAACATGCTGTTGATGCAGCAGTTTTAAAAAACTCTCTCGTAAGCCTATTTTTTTTTTCTTCTCAATTTGGCTGATTCAAGATTGTTGGAGCTACAACAACGGGAGCTGCAAAGTTTAATGATCTTCTTTCTAAGATAGGCTCAAAGATAGTGATAATTGAAGAATCGGCTGAAGTATTAGAAGGACACTGTTTTGCTTCGATCCCAAATAAAATAGAGCATTTGATAATGATTGGAGATCATCAACAGCTTCGTCCCAATCCATGTACATTTTTCTCGGTTCATCTTACACTTATCGCCTTCCATTTCAGCTGTTTATGAGTTGGGAAAACTCTACAACTTGGATGTTTCCATGTTCGAGCGTTTGATCAAGAATGATTTTCCTCATGTATGCCTATCTATGCAACACAGGATGCTACCGTTGTTGACTTCTACAGTCATACGTCCATACTTCTATGAGAAGTATGCTAGGTTTCTGTTGCTTTAACACCTGAAATTTTAGTCTGCAGGATCATATGAGTGTGAAAGAATACCCGGAAGTAGCAGGAATGAAAAAACCATTATACTTCTGGTCTCATAATCATAGCGAGAGTATTCAGCGTACGTCATACACCAATAGATACGAGGTTCGTAGAATGATAAACTTCAAATATATATCCCTCACAGCTCCTAATGATCTCCAAACTTGTCCGCTACTTGCTACTTCAACAATGTTACAAACCATCTGATGTAAAGTTCTCATCATATTAAATTTCTGATTTTTTACTTCTACAGATATCAGTGCTTACACCTTATTCAGAACAACAGTCGCTCCTAGATAGCGTTAGTGTATTTCTCGGTTCTTACTTCATCCAGCTATTCTAGGAAATGAATGCTCTCTCTCACAGTATGGGTTACCCTGAAAAGGCAATTGGTGTTCATACTGTGGATAGTTTCCAAGGAAAGGTATGAAGCACAATGAAATAATCAAGAATAAAGCTAATTCCAGGAGAACAAGATAATTCTTTTGTCACTAGTTAGATCTAACGGGGAAGGTATTGGGTTTTTATCCGTAAGTGCGAGAAACCCAACATTCTTGTAAAATCTTTTAGATTTCAAATCGTGTTTGTGTGGCTCTTACTAGAGCAAAGCATGGTATGTACGTAGTAGGAAACATACATTATCTTAAATCGAGATCTGCTTTATGGCAAAAAATATCAATGAAGTAAGAAAGCTTTTTTTCCCTTGAAAAGTATTCTTCTTTTAGCTTGATAGATAACGAGCTGGTAGAGTTTTTCATTCCTCTCAAATGTCAAGTTCACGGCAATGTCACGGTGAGGAACAGCTGCGGTTCTTCTGAAAATTTATAATAGGAAATCTATGAACCAGAAGATTTTGATTCCTTAGCCGCAGATGGAGGATGTGATGAAAAATGTGGGTCCTCTTTAGATTGTGGTCACTTTTGTAACAAAAGGTTAGAAATATTAAAGTATAAATCCTTTTTCGAAGCTTAGATGTCATGTGGGAACTGATCATCTGGATGATGGCATTTGTCGGCAGCCATGTCCTCGTGTTTGTTCTAATGAGAAATATAAGCATAAGTGTCAAAAGACTTGTAAAGAAGTAAGTTCCTGTCAACACTAAAACAGTGTTCCCTTGTGAGGTGCCATTTTGTGTTTTATTTTCCAGGTTTGTGGAGGATGCTATCAGTTGGAGTATCTTCAGCTAGCTTGTGGTCACGAAGTTGGAGGAGCTTGCCAAGATCTACATAAGTTGAAATGTAGGGAAAGGTTTCATTAAGGTTCTGTTTGATTTTAACGATATTCGTCATCATAGATGTTCGAAGTTCTTGAAATGTGGTCATCAGTGTTCCCAGAATTGTGGAGAAGAATGTACCGTAGATTGCCTTGAGGTTTGATGTGATCTAAACATCTTTAACTTCTCTCCAGTTGATGCCGTTCAAACAAGACTGTAATCATATAGCTGAATATCTATGCTCAAATCCTGAAGTTGGGAAGTGTACATTCCCATGTGATAAATTTCTGATCTGTGGGCATAAATGCCCGAACGATTGTTCTAACCCATGTGCCCGGGAATGTCTAGCGGTCTGTCAATATTCCATTTAAGTAAAAATAATTAGTTTTTTTTTCAGCCTGTTCAGAAGCTTCTGAGTTGCGGTCACCGAACTAACGTCCCTTGCTCCATCAATCCCGAGATATATCCTTGCCCGGTACTTAGCCAACATAATCATAACTATCTTATTATTATAAAGGTCGAAATTGAACATTACATCGTATCATGTGGTCATTATGTAAAGTCGGCCTGTTCAACTCAGCTGGAAACATTAAGTTGCCCGTCTAGATGTATGAAGAGTTTGGAATGTGGTCATATTTGTATTCGTCAATGTGGTGTCTGTAGAGAAGGCATGTGCATCTTTATCATTTTAACAACTGTAATTTTCAGAAGGAAGTCATTCTTGCGGGGAGATCTGTAGAAAAAACCTCGCTTGTGGGCATCAGTGCATGGACAGGTAAAATGCAACTTGTTGTTCAATTCACAATTCATATAGATGTGGAGTTCCTTGTGGACCATGCAAAGCTGATTGTCTGACATCGTGCTCACATCAAGCTTGCGGTTCTCCAACTATCCGAACAAAAACTGGAATAGTACCTTGTCTTCTAAAAATTTAGTGCTAAACTTTTTTTTCTGTAGTGTTATGGTCGTCAATGTTCTGAAATTTGTGTTCTTTGCAGTAGAGCTTGTGATAATCACTGTGAACATAGATTTTGTCAACTGAGGTTTGTCTTGTTCATTTTTCATCTTCAGATAAACTTCTGCAGATGCTTCGAAGTTTGCGATGTGAAACCTTGTGAGGCTCTTTGTACTAAAAAATTAGCTTGTGGACATGCATGCCTTGGGATGTGCAGTGAAGTTTGCCCATGTAAGCAGAGAATGATATTTAATGTTCATGAGTTTGCCATTTAGCTGTCTGTGGTACATGTAATCAGAAGAAGTATGTTGATATCGTGAACTCTATGAAAGAAAGTGATTCGAAGCCAAGAATCCATAAACTAGTCATGATTCCTTTCTGTAATCACATATTCCCTGTTCCCGTAAGCAAGGGTTACCTATACCAACCAAAAAAATTTTTAGTTCTTGGATGATGTGATGAGTGATTTCAAACAAAAGGTGGTCTATCCGAGGTGCCCACAAAGCGGATGTGGACAAGCCATTCTAGGTGTGCAACGATACTCAAGGATTATCAAGGAAATTGTATTTAAACGCTACCAGGTAGAATCAATTCTAATCATGTTCTTGCTATTAGAATGATTCCTAGCTCAATGAGAAGAGAAGAGTTTCTGAGAATGCTGCTCTCAAACACTATAATTTTGAGAAATACAAGGCAGAGTTGAAGCAATATTTCAAGTCTATAGACTGCTTAGCTGTCCAATCAAAAGTGAGTTATACTAGAGTTATAAACAGGTTTTTTCATTTCTGTTTATAATTTATCTTGGATGAATTTATCCCCTCTACATCTTCCTAGGCGAGTAAGACGCGGATAACAAACCTACAAAAGCTTAGAGAAAAATGGGTGGGTAATCTCAGTGTAGATTTCCTTCTTGATTTAAGCAGGTAAGCACGCTTTCGAATCTCTAACCAATTCTTTGTCAGATCGTTGAAGTCGTTAGTATATCTCTTCGATTTGTATTTTCGAATTGAGACAAAACTGCCTAGGAAAAATTCTACATGTAGCTCAAACATGGAACGTATATGTAGTTATATATCGAAGACCGGGAATATTAAATCTGATATGGTAGAGAGGAATGAATGAGAAGTATAACTGTGTTCTTCATTCCAGGAGAACTTTCTGGATGATACTTGTGCTTGGTTCAACACGAATATGACAGTTGGAATAAGCGGAGTTTTTGTTCCCGTGGCTAAGGAGTTCTTGATGAGAGCTGCAGTTAATTTAACAGTTTGGGTCTCTCTAAGTCTTCTTAATGAACTGCTTCTAAAGATATGTGAACTGGTCGTGACGAACTTGCTAAGATGTACGGATATAGATGAGTCGAAGATGTCTAGGTTGTCGGCTTTACTAGCACGGGTGAATGAAACCGGTTCAACTTTTCAGTTAGGAGATTTGTTAAGTAAGTTTTAAATGTGAGTATCCACTACTTCTTTTTTCAGAGAAAATACTGACGTTTATAAATGAATCGAAATTAATTAATGATAAAGATTATGGAGACTGGAAGTTATTTTTAAGCATTCCATTTCCCGAATTTTGATAATAGACTGTGAAAATCTCTTTTTTTCATTGCTTTAATGTGTTATTTATGCATAATAAATATTAAAAGTCTTTGTGAAAGCAGGTCATGCAATTGGTCTCGACACGATTGCCATGCGAATCAATTTTCGCATCGGTCCAGTTTATCAGCGTTCAAGGCAAATATTTCAGCTGAAATAATTAAAATTCTATGTTATTGCGTATTGTTTTTGAGAAATGCTGTATTCATAAAAACAGCGGATATTATAGAAATTCGAATAAGACATTATTTATGAGAGAAATGAATTTCCTTTTAATTAGAGAGATTTTTCTGTTGAGGAGTTGTTGATTTCATCTTTTTACATATAACACGGAGGATTAAGATATGTGTATTCTATGTTTTTTAGGTTGTTCGATGGGATTTTGTGATTGTTAAATTCGGGTATAACAAGTGATGTCTGTGGAAGTACAACATCGACTTCTCATGAAACTCAATGTTAAAGATGTAAAATTTTCTTTTATTATTCCTTTTTTTACTTTTTTTTCCTGTAGATTTTGAGTAATCGCCTTGATTTTTCGGCTGCTGTTCGTTCAGAGTTCAAAGAGGAAATTCCTAGTAATTACCATGGTTTGCTTTTACCAGTTTATGTTTTTATTCACTATTTTCTTTCTCCAGTACTTCTACCTGACCGACAAAGAGGCAGCTCCTCTTTTGGCAGTCCTTGTACCTCTAATGGGGATAGACTAACAAGCTGCCACAGCAGCACGTATGATAGTGCTTCTTCGAGCCCCTTTTCGATTACTAAAGAACTTACTAATGTAGGAAGTCCTTTGACTCCCTTATCAGATGGTTAGTTTGTTGATCAGTTCGGCCTTTCAAAATTTTCTCCATTAAGCTTCACGTTCGAAATCGAAGAGCCCGATACGTGCTCAATCATTTTTAGCAGAAAAAAGTAACTCTCCTGTCACACAAAACGAAAGGTAAAAAAATGAATATGAATGTATTAATGTTCTTTCTTTAAGTCCCAAAATGGAAGATGCACCCTCTTCTCCGAACGTTTCCTCTCCGAATAGTCCTGCCAGTTCACCGTTGGAAGAGCAGAAAATAGTTAGTTCAATTAACTAGATACAAGCTCACTAATTTTTTTTAGTTGAAAAAGAAGAAGAAGAAAGAACGGAAAAAGGCTGAGAAGGTTGCAATGAACAGGTTTGTTCCCTAATTAAAACAAAAACTATGATGGTTTGCTTCAGCTCTCTATCATCTCAAACTTCCGAAAGCTCTAAGAAGCAACTGCTTGAGGTAGTAGTTTTGTTCTTTGCGTTAATTTAATGTTAATTATCAAGGCTCAAAACCGTACAAAGAAGAACGAAACCCTGTCATCGGTTTTACCTTCTGCGAAAGCTATTACCTTTAGAATCGGGACAGAGATCATGTCTCGAACACCTCTTGTTAGTTATGAGGATAGCGATAGTGATTCCGAGAACCTCACTGATCAAAAGGTTGTTGAGAGAAGGAAGGAAAGCTCTATCACTAAACAAAGAGAGAGCAGTAGTGGAGAAGAGGTAATTGTTCATCTATAATGTAATGTACAGTTTCATTCAGGAGGAGGAAGATGAAGAGGAAGAGGATGAAGAAGAACAAGAAGTAGAAGATGAAGAAGATGATTCGCTCAATGTTAAAGCAATCATCGGACCTTTGAAGCCTGGCCATTCTAACCCAACTAAAGAAATAACTCCAAAAAACGGATTGAGAGAGTTAGCGGAAAAAAGGAAAAACAATAGCACTGTTGGGAACCCCATTGTTAAAAGAAAACGTTTGCTTTCCGAACGTGCTGAAAAAGAGATGGCTTATCCGGTTATTGATGAAGATAATGTATCTATTTGGAATTGGAATGACTTCAAAGGAGTGGTAAGAATCAGTTTTAAGTCACAAATCTCTATCCTAACATTTTAGAAAGGAAGAAACTGCGGTGTCGGTCTCTATAATAATTCCAATGACTGTTTTTTGAATGCCATTCTTCAAATTATTGCTCACACTGCCCCTCTTGCCCGATATATAGTAGAGAAGCATAGCTCCGATAATTGTGAGTTTGAATAGCTTTTCTTTTCTCTATTATATATTATAGGTGTTCGCCCTCAAAATCAATGTCTTTGTTGTTGCATGAAAGTAAACCATTTCCACAGATTATACAATACAAACAATCCGTTCACAGCTAATTGGATTAGACCTCACTTAAGACGTAAGCTTTCCTATGGGATTCCTGATAATTATGCTTGTTCAGGGATTTTCCCTTCTCACATGCAGGGAATGCAAGAAGATGCTCATGAATTGCTCACTTTGTTATTAGATGCGCTAGACCCACCTCCCGGACAGAACAATCACAATGGTGTCCCATCACAAATGTAACTTTCTTTACGATATTTCATTTTCTTGTTTTTCTGTTTCAGTCAACCGAAATCCTCAACACCAGTCGAACAAATATTTGGAGGAACTCTTCGGAATCAAAGTAACTGTTTCTCTCTCAAAAAAATACTCAATGGAGCTTTTAGTTACCTGCACTGTTTGCCGTACACCATATATCAATTATGAACGAATTAGAGAATTAAATTTAGCCATACGGTTTGTATAGTGGTCCTGCCGTTTCTTAAAGTGTTGTTTCAGGAAATTAAGCGATGGGGAATCAATAAAAATTGCCAATCTTCTGGACATCTATTTCCGTGATGAAAACGTTTCCAGTTTCGACTGCAAAAAGTGAATTTCACTATTTATTTTTTAAAGAAAACTTGAACGTTTAGATGTGCAAGGAAAACTGTTGCTAATAGAGTAACGAGGGTCTTACGACCTCCTGCCGTTCTGCTTGTACAACTTAAGCGTTTCAATGCGTTCGGAGGCAAAATCCGACTGCCAGTTACGGCTGATGTAAGTACGAACATTAGGGTCGTAAGTCATTTCTTGGTATTCAGATGCAAGTTGATTTGCTGAAATATTTATTCGATGGTTCATCATCAACACCCTCATCAGCTAAGTATGTTCTAACGTCAGTTGTGGAGCATTTGGGATCAGGTGTAGATCATGGTCACTACGTTTCGTATGTACGTGGTTATGATGGACAAAAATGGTTCATGTTCGATGATGAACAGGTGAGCTCACATCTTTCCTATTTTTCTCAATTTCTCCTAGATATCTGGTGCTTCGGCTCATAAAGTTGAGGATAGTAATCCATATCTTCTTGTATACAGGCAAGCTTTTGTGAAGTTATAATGATTCTAACAATTATAATTGTAGTCGTCAGTGTGATATTCCTTCGAGACGAACACCCGATGTTGCTCGCCCAATGGGAATCAACCGACAAAACGGCGGGTATACAAAAATAAATCATTCCCCGTTCCCTAACAGGTATACTTTGTCTTCTAATCTGAGTTAACTCCTTCTTCTAGGACCGGACTAAACTACACTTCACCTCATGGCTACGGTAAAAAGCTTTCTGGGCCCAGTACGCCATACGGCATGCCGAAATGGAAGCCAGGCATTATTTAGAATATTTGTTCGTATTTTTTAGCTCAATGTTTCACTTCTGAAATTTTTTGTGGCTCAACTGTCTTACTTGCCATCCCTAGGTTGATCATAGCGCGCGCATCTATTTTTCATTTTCGTCATGAATGAAACCGGTCATTGCTTTGCATATCATTATTATTAGCAAGAAAACATTCTTTTTTCGTTTGATTCGCATCTAAGCGTTTTCTACTCGTAATTGATACGGTGAAGGGTTGATACAACTGAATCCATTATTATTAAATCAGGCCTCCTCTTTGAGAATCAGTCCCCTAAGGCTTGGGCTTCTCAGGCAGTTTTTTGGAAACTCAGCCCTTAGATGAAAAAAAAAGTACCGTTACGCCGTGAACTGATTTCTAGTTAAACCGTGGGGTGGCAACCTAGACACGCCTTCTTTGTAAATATGAATGCACCCTATAAGGTAATTTTTATATTTTCCCATTATGTTTTGTCATATAAGCTATCGAAGCGTCAGACATTATTTGTATATGTACGTAGCCAGATTGTTATTTGTTGTTAATGGAATTTAATTTTTTGTTTTCCTTTTTTTCTAATAAGGTGATAAGGATCTCTTGAAACTCGTAAGCAGTCTCATTTCTTTAAATATCATAAATTTAGACGATTCGATTTATTGTTTAAGGTTTTTCTTCCATAATTCCATTTGTTTTTCATTAATCTTTAAGTATTAGTGGTGGTTGTAACAGAAAGAAAGTCGTTCTTTCTTCTTATATAATTGTACAACAACAACAACAAACTATTTGTTATCCTTCTCAAATTAAAGTAAAATTATTAAATATATTTTATTGTTTTTAAGCTCATATCTATGAAGCCATGAGTGAAATCATTTTCTTATCAATAGCTTCCAAAAAGTCTTCCGTTGTCAGGAATCTGCAACAACAAAATGAGTCTTATACTCATCATTACCTTCAGCATTACCTTCCTTCTTGAGATCCTTCTTTGGTTCCATATATGCAGATGGAGAGGTCTTTAGTCATTTTTCCTTCCTCAATAGTGTCAACACATGCCTTTTCCAATGTCAATGAGAACCTTAACCATTTATTTGGGATTAGGATGACTCACTTACTTCTTCAATTGCTCATTACTATCCAATACTCCGCGATGGTGTAGTCCTCTTGACCAAGCAAAAATAGAGGCCACGGGGTTTGTAGAAGTGGCTAAACCTTTCTGATGTTGTCGATAATGACGTGTGACGGTTCCATGAGCCGCTTCAGCTTCTATCGTTTTGCCATCAGGACACATCAGTACTGATGTCATCAATCCCAAAGATCCATATCCTTAAAGTTCCAAGTTTTGAAGTTCAACGGCGTAATTCAACCTTGGGCAACGATATCACTCTGAACATCTCCATCGTAGTTCTTGCATGCCCAAACGAAACCTCCTTCTCCTTTAAGACCTTGAGCAACCTGCAGGGAGAAAAAACTCTTACTGATTGATAGTTCCGAATTCATACCATATCATCAATCAATCTGTGCTCATACCATAATCCAAGATCCTTGAATTGCTTTTCGAAATCGCTATAGCACGATTTGGTGATTAACTAGTTCAAGCTATCACTCACTTCTCGTATATCTCCTGGAAGATATCCTTGAATCTACCATCGTATCTTTTCAAAATTGTGTTTTTGGTGCTCAAATAGAGGGGATATTTCTTGGTTAATGCATATTGGAAGCATGAGCGAGCAAAGCCTTCAATACTCTGAAAGGCAGTAGGTCATTAAGCTTGAATTGAATTCAGACACCTCGTCCGTATTATACATTCCCATTCCAACTCCGGCGGAATTTTTATAATGGAAGATATCATGAGTCTGAGTCTTTCCATCAGCTCCTTCAACGTAAGGTGTAAAAGCCGTAGTGTGTAGAAAATCTTACCTGTGACGAGAAGTTGCATCTTTGATCCTTTAGGAATGACGAGATCAGTAGCTTTGTACTAGATACAGATAATGAGCAGAGATTATCATACAAAAAAACATACTTGATCACCAAAAGCATGACGCCCAATAACAATAGGTTTCTTCCATCCTGGGACTAAACGAGGGATGTTTTTGCACAAAATTGGTTCCCGGAAAACAGTTCCTGCAACGAACACTGTGAGAGAAAGATACTTCTAACAGAGCAGTACCTCCCAATATATTTCTGATTGTTCCATTAGGTGATAACCACATCTTCTTAAGCTTGAACTCCTTCACTCTGTATCAACACATCAATGAAGATGAATATTCTAGTTCCAACCTGTCTTCATCTGGAGTGATGGTTGCACACTTAATTCCAACATTGTATTTCCGGATAGCTTCAGCAGCTTCGATGGTAACCTATATTAAACAGTGAAGAGAAATAAAACATTCCGAGCTTCACTTGGTCGTTTGTTTCATCCCGATGCGGAAGACCCAAGTCATAGTACTTAACATCTAAGTCGAGATAAGGAAAGATAAGCTGAAATCAACGAATTCCAAAAGCTTAAAGCAATTCATCATGTATAAACCTTATTTTTTATTTCCTGCCATATGATTCGCGTCATTTCATCTCCATCTAAATCAACAACAGGGTTCGCCACCTTAATATAAATATTTTTGGCAATCTAGAAACTGATACCTTGATTTTTGTCGTGAGTGGACTGGCTGAAGTAGCAAGACTTCGATGGAAATGTAACTTATGGCTTCGAACAGCATTCGAAGCAATAGAAACGCATCGGTTCATTGTTGAGAATCGAAAGAAAAAATATTATTAAATGACCGAATATGCGAATAAAAGCAAATAAAGCATTGCTATCAAATGCAATTTTATGATTGGTCAAATCTCGAGAAAGATTAACATGAATGCGTTGGGTCAATGAGCGTCAATGATAACAAACGAAAAATACGGGAAAACTTGCTAGAACACAGAAAAATCCATAAAACGGAATGAAACAACAGCTTCCATGAAAAGATTCTTCGTAGAAAAACAAAAATGCTCGACGGGTAAATATGATGCCCCAAAGATAATTCAAAATCATCAACTACGAGCCTCTTGAGATTCAGAGCTTCGAGTAAAGTAAACTATCTTCTGATTATGAAAAGGTGTTCAATCCAGAACATGTCATTGTCACCTTAAAATCACCTTTCCAGTTTTAGTTTCTTAATTCAGAACCCAATCTTCATGGGGAGACCACATTACACGAGAACAACTTAAGAAATATGATTTCTATTACTAAAGGACAATTGCTTTTTCTAAACATTTTTGCTTTTTTTCTCATCATTCTCTACTTCAAAAGCTCGAGTAGTTACTATAGAAATATAATTTCACAGAATGCTCATAGAGATAGAAAACCTTATATAGTAATTTACAACAGAGTAAGTCGAATAATTAGTTTGCTTCTAAGAAAGTTTCCATTGCAGATACCTAAAACTGGTTCAACTACTTTTACAAATGCTGTGGCATATGATTTATTCAAAACGAACGGGTTCAATGTAATTCACTTAAATATGACCAAAAATCGCCAGGTAATAATGTTCCTCTGTGATAGGTGAAGTTATTTGTTTTAGATTATGAGCATTCCTGATCAGTTTGATTTTGTTACAAATGTTACTACATGGCACGAACGACTTCCCGCTTTCTATCATGGCCATGTTTCTTTTATAGACTTCACCAGGTAAATTTAACTTCGTTGTTTATAGATCAGTTGCTTCATGTCTTATATGTGTTTCTCATGTAACATAATTCCGTTCATTACTTTAACATCAATATGTGCGTAACTCGTTGTAGATTCGGCTATCCAAATCCTATATACATCAATCTTCTCCGGGAGCCATTAGATCGTCTACTCTCACATTACTACTTCTTACGGTACGGTGATAACTATCGAGTTGGGCTTAAAAGGAGTCGGGCAGGGAATAATGAGGTAATATCTTTCTTTGTAAAATTTCACCCTAGTTTTCCTCAGACTTTTGATGATTGTGTATCACGCAGTGGAAAAGATTGTGATCCGAAACAGCTGTGGATGCAAATTCCTTACTTTTGCGGACATCATCATTTCTGCAGGTCAACTATAATTTAAATAGCATACAGTAACATGTACTTTCAGTGAAGTCGGAAGCACTGATGCATTGGATAAAGCAAAACGTAATTTGATTGAGAATTACCTGTTAGTCGGAGTCAATGAACGAATGAGAGATTTCATAGCTTTACTTGAAAAGGCGTTCCCTCCTTTTTTCGAAGGTGCATTATCACACTTTGATGGACTTGATGGTATGTTCATAGGTCTTCCCTTCCATATAAGTAGAAATGTTTTTTTTTCAAGAAAATCGAGCTCATCTGAGATATACAAAGAAAAAAGTGATGCCTACCAAGAAGACTTTAGAAATAATCAAGAATACTGTCGCGTATCGAATGGAGAAAGAGTTTTATGATTTTGCTAGAGCCGAATTTGATGCCATTTTCAAGTATGAGTTCATCCTTCAGGTCCATACAGCGTTATGATTTCTAGAAAAGCGACAAACGGTACCGACAAAGCTGAGAACATTCGATTGTTATCGAATCAGTTTCACTATGAAAAAATAAAACCGGAGAGAGGAAGCAGGGATAGATGAATAGCAAGGGTATATAGAATATTTTTTTCTTTTTTCATAAGTTGAAGTTTTCTCTTTAGTTTTGAATGATGAAGACGAAAACATTGTATGATATTTATAAGTATGTAAATCCATTTCTTTGTCATATAATAAACGACAGAAAAACAAATAAATG